ATAATAATAACAATAATAATGTTTTGTTTAAGCGTAATTTTAATGTAGAGGACAGTTAAGATAACAAGGTGATAATTTAGAAAAATTAAGACAAAATAAAGTTGTGAGGGAAGGGCTTGTGGTGAGAAATGATGGCTGGTCAGATGACAGATTTGGTAAATTTTGGTATTTATACAAGAGATTTTTAACAAACACTGCATCGATTTATCAAAGATGTATGGCCTAAAAAGTGGTGCAAAGTTGTAAATGTGGAACGATACACCAATACAACACACCTGGCTCCACTGGTTTCCAAAATGATTGATCTCCCTGATCCTTTTAAAGTTTTGCACTGCATTCCACACCAAATTCAGGCATATATTTTTTTTTATTTTTTTTTATGTGAGTGTGAGCACATACAGTGGTATTAACATGACTTGCAATGTAGTTCCTATGGAATGCACAAATACTCTTGTCATAAGGAATTACTCAGTCTTTAAAATGAAAAGACACAGAGACATAAACCTTATAACAAAAGGTAATTAAATAAAATGAACATATCGAATTACCCAACATAATAGAGATTATGTATGTATATATATATATATATATATATATATATATATATATATATATATATACAGACACACATATATATATATATATATATACACATATATATATATACACACACACACACACACACTAAACTGCAAGGAATAAAAAAAAAACCAAAAAAAAAAAAAAAAAAAAAAAAAACGCCATTTAGACATAAATGAAAGATCAAACTCGACACTAAAGTCCAATGATCAGATGAGCTACACAAATTACATTAGGGCACGTTGGGTTTCATACTGACATTAAAAAATACAGACGGGAAGATTAGTATATTTAATTTGCATTAATGTTTCTAATTTCCCAGCAGCATGATTGCCTTGGAGACAGCTATGTCAAATATTTATTATAAAAGCAAACACGTGTGAGTCACAGTGTTCAAGTCAGTAAAATTTGTTTTTCTGTATACATTACTCTTTTTACACATTTCACAGCAATTAAATTGAAGTGCTCTTTTATAAAGGTGTCGAAATGGCTCTATAATAGAGGAGACAGGTGCACTGATATGCAGAAATTATCATCAAGAGTTTTAAACCTCTTCTCTACACCCACATCTCTTTCATTTCAGAATGGCAGAATAGGGGGGGTTTAATGTACTAAACAGCAAAATATAGTGAACAGAAGAATTAAATGCAAATTTGGGGCTAAATAGAAGAGCTAAGCTGTGACTATAACCATGTTAGACAATTTTCCAAAATCCACTTTTTTAGCCTGATTTTTTTTTTATTCTATTCTCAATTTACCACCATTTCACTGTGAGTAATTCCTAAAGGTGTAGTCCTTTCTACAGCTTATGACAAACTATTTCCTCATCTTAACCGGTGACTGTAGCCAATATTCCTAAAGCTCAGTAATGTTTATTAAACAAATTATATTTAATTAGAATTTCTGGAAAAAAAATTACCACCCAGTATCTTCAAAAACAAACAAACAAACAAAAAAAAACGAACATTTACCAGATGACAATATAAAAGTATGTTACTACAACATACAGATAGATACTGGACTCAGCATACATTTTCCTTTGTTGCGTTAAAGGTGACAGTCTGATATGTAAAGTCATTGCTTTTAAAGTTCCTACTATTTATGAATTAATTTTCTGAGGATAACTAAATAACAGTTGTGAATAGTAAGACTTTTTTATGGTGTATTTCAAAACCGAGACTTAGAATTTGTCTTGCAGAATCTTTGTCAAACATTTCTTAAGAGTTGGTACCCATCCCAATAATAGTTCTGCCTCAGAATAATTATGTATGGGTGTAACAAATATAATAGGACTATCCACTTAGATTTCTGCAAAACCAGTTCCCCTCCTTAAACTTATTCTTATTGGCAATGTAAAGTGCATCTTACCTCTTATCTAAAGACACAACAATATACAATTAATTACAACGAACGAGTGTAAGCGTATGTTACTAAAGTACACTATATTTAGTGAATGGAACCTACTGTAAATCCAGATTTTTCTTTAGAAAAAAAATGCAGATCACTGTACTCAATAATTACGTTAAACACAGCAACCCCGATCATATTCTGAAAGCTTGGCAACACAAGAGGATCTGCGGAAGCTGAGGCCTGCAAGTCAAACCTTTAGTAAGATCAGACTAACAGGTTTTCCAGCCACGTCTGTATTTATAGCGGAAATCCTGATAATGCATTAGAAAGGCTGACTATGAAAACACATTTACTGCCAAGCAATCGAAGCTTCTACTTCAATTCATTTTTTTTTTTTTTTTTTTTTTTTTACACCCATTTACATTGAAAAAGATGAAGGACAGCATATAAGTGAGACATTTAGTATATTTAACTCCATTAGACAGTATAGGACAGGAGAGATTACCATTGATCTTATCTAATATGTATGCTTCCCCATATCCCTGCCTAAAAAACAAAGTCACAAAAAAAGATTAAGCAGCAGCTGTGAGGGACATCTGTATATTCTGCTCAAATAAAAGAGAATGTATTCTGGAGTCACCAGCACTCATATTTATGCCACTTACAAAATGTAATTGCTCAAAGCTGGTGGACTAATTTATGCCACTTCATCTTTTGTAGACTACAGCTCCCATGATGTGCAATGTGGCTGGCTGAGAATCATAAGAGCTTTAGTCTGGTTTGCCAAAGGTTAGTCACGTATCTCCTACAGCACAAACCACATAACTTCCTCTGTCTGAGGATGCACACACACACACGATACAACACAGACAAAATATATTTAATGCATGGATATGACAAAATCTACACACTGCAATAATGTCTTTCCCAAAACCCCCATCAATGATAAGCCAACCACACAATAGGCACTGCTATGCCTGGGAACAAGGGCTGGCTGAAAGGGAACATGAAAATATAATGGGTTGGGGCTAGCTGAGGGGGAACATGCAGTCATGGCAGATGGGGGGCTGGCTGAGGGGGGACATTCAGACATAATGGGCTGGCTGAGGGGGAACATGCAGTCATGGCAGTATGGGGGAACACGCAGACAGTGGGCTGGCTGGGGGGGGACACATGCAGTCATGACAGGATTGGGTTAGTTAAGGGTGAACATACAGATATGGGTTGGGGCTGGCTGAGGGGGAACATGCAGTCATGGCAGGATTTGGCTGGGAACATGCAGGCTGAGGGCTGGCTGAGGGGAACATGCAGTCATGGCAGGATTGGGAGGCTGGCTGAGGGGAACATGCAGTCATGGCAGGATTGGGTTAGTTAAGGGTGAACATACAGATATGGGTTGGGGGCTGGCTGAGGGGACACATTCAGTCATGGCAGGATGGGGGGCTGGCTGGGGGCTGGCGGGATGGGGCTGGCTGGGGGACACATTCAGTCATGGCAGGATTGGGGGGCTGGCTGGGGGGGGACACAGTCATGGCAGGATTGGGTTAGTTAAGGGTGAACATACAGATATGGGTTGGGGCTGGCTGAGGGGGGGACACATTCAGTCATGGCAGGATGGGGGGCTGGCTGGGGGGGGACACATTCAGTCATGGCAGGATGGGGGATTCAGTCATGGCGGTATAGATTGGGGGCTGGCTGGGACACAGTCATGGCAGGATTGCTAGTTAAGGGCGAAACATACAGATATGGGGCTGGGGCCATTGAGGGGGGACACATTCAGTCATGGCATAGGTCGGCCGGGACATTCCAGTCATGGCAGGATGGGGCTGGTTGGGACACATTCAGTCATGGCAGGATTGGGGGGCTGGCTGGGGGGGGACACAGTCATGGCAGGATTGGGTTAGTTAAGGGTGAACATACAGATATGGGTTGGGGCTGGCTGAGGGAGGACATGCAGTCATGGCAGGATGGGGTGCTGGCTGAGGGGGAACATGCAGTCATGGCAGGGCTGAGGGGGAACATGCAGTCATGGCAGGATGGGGGGCTGGCTGAGGGGGGACACATTCAATCATGGCAGGATGGGGGCTGGCTGAGGGGGGACACATCCAGTCATGGCAGGATTGGGGCTGGCTGAGGGGAACACATGCAGTCATGGCAGGATGGGGGCTGGCTGAGGGGACACATTCAGTCATGGCAGGATTGGGGGGCTGGCTGAGGGGGGGGACATGCAGTCATGGCAGGATGGTGGGCTGTTTGAGGGGACATTCAGTCATGGCAAGGGATGGGGGCTGGCTGAGGGGGGACATTCAGTCATGGCAGGATTGGGGGGCTGGTTGAGGGGGGACATTCAGTCATGGCAGGATGGGGGGGGCTGGCTGAGGGGGGGACATTCAGCCTGGCAGGATGGGGGCTGGCTGAGGGGACATTCAGTCATGGCAGGATGGGGGCTGGCTGAGGGGACATTCAGTCATGCAGGATGGGGGGGCTGGTTGAGGGGACATTCAGTCATGGCAGGGATTGGGGCTGGCTGAGGGGGGACATTCAGTCAAGGCGGGTGATTGGGGGCTGCTGAGGGGACATAGTCAAGGCAGGACTGGGGCTGCTGGAGGGGGGGGACATGCAGTCAGCGGCAGGATTGGGGGCTGGGTTGAGGGGGACACCAGTCATGGCAGGATTGGGGGCTGGCTGAGGGGACATTCAGTCAAGGCAGGATTGGGGCTGTTGAGGGGGACATTCAGTCAAGGCAGGATTGTGGGGTGGGCTGGCTGAGGGGACATTCAGTCATGGTGAAAATTGGGGGGGGCTGTATTGAGGGGGACACAAGTCATGGCAGGATTGGGGCTGGCTGGAGGGGGGGACATTCAGTCATGGCAGGATTGGGGGCTGGTTGAGGGGGGACATTCAGTCATGGCAGGATGTGGCAGAGTTTTTTTGGGTATCAGCCAAAAGCTGGGTGCGACCTCAGACATGGCAGCCCCCCCAGTCCTTTCCCAGACAGCCATTATACCATGGTCCCTGTGAGATATTAATAACAATAATAATAATGAGTGCAGCAGTGGTTGGTGGTACTCACCGAGATCCCAGTCCGGACACCCTGAGGAGGAGGATGGTGATGGTGATGTAGAACAACAAAGTTTGTGAGCATTGGAGGGGGGGGGGGTCAGAAAGGAAGTGATTCCTCCCTCCTGGCAGATCTGTCCCGGTATAAAGTGTGAGAGCGGCACAGCCCGGACTGCATTACACTGAGTGCCGCTCACACTGACTGACTGCCTCCCTCCCCGCGCCCTCGCTTTCCGTCTCCCTCTCTGTCTCTCCAGTCTGGGAGCTGCCAATCAACGCCGCGTCACGTGACCCGAGTCCAGGCACTCTTCTTCTTCGAAACGCGAGTTCCCGAAGAGCCGGGTGCCGTGACGTCACGAAGGCGCGCCCCCTCCTCCTTCTCCTCCAGCTGCCAGCGTGCAGTGTGTGAGCGCTGTGTGTGTGTGACTGGCGGCCAGTGCCATGCTCCCACACTGTATCCCCACACTCAGGCTGTATATTAAAGATGACCACATTGCTGCTCTCTATATAGCCTCTGTCTATGTGACTATACACAGGTTGGAGGTTTCCTTGTAATAAATGGCAGCTGTTTGAGACAGTCACAGGGACCCTGCAGCGCTCTGTAGTAGTTTTGGGATAGAAAGGGGAATAGTAAGACAAATCTCCCTAAAAAAAAATATCCCTGGGGGCATGGCATGGGTAACATCCTCCAAGTGATCACTTTTAAAAACGTGTTTTATTGTTTATGAAAAATTAGAAAAACTAAACATATTTTAAAGACGTTGGTTATCTTCTCCGCGTAGCTGTTAAAACAATTACTTTCCAGCTAAAAAAAATGTAAATATGTCATATTTGTTGAATATTGGATTTTTATACGTGAAACCTAGGACATACTTGAAAACGAGAGAAATCTCAATGTATTCATACTGGTAAAATATTTTATAAAGAAATAATGAGAAATTCCATATAACGGGACACTGTAACCATTTCTTTTTCTAGGTCCGCTATGCTTTCCATTCAGCTAATCTGGGCTGAAAATGGAAGATTATGCTAGCGCAGTGTACTGATAATCTTAATTTTAATAATGACAGGAGGCGAATATTTGCATTAACTTTCTTTACTAGCTCCATAGCAGCAAAGAAAAAAACTCTTAAAGAAAGAACCAATCAGAATTAAACAGAGGATATATAAACCCATGCATAGCCCATCATTTCCTCTTGATTAATGCGACATCACAAATCCGAAAGAAAAATGACAAACGTGTCAGATCCAACTTGATCCAGCTTGACGTAGTTAATTCACTGTTGAAAACGGTAAGGATTTTCGGTCTCTCCATCCTCCATAAAGCTTGTTAAACTGAAAGGAAAGAGAGACTAGTATCAGTGATACGGAATTGACCGTAGACCACAAATGTCTGATTAGATATGTAAACTCTCCGTTATTCCTATACGTCTTATCCTTAGAATACTATTGGTCTAATTAAACTACAATATAAAGACGACAACACTCCCCATCCTACAGCCCTTTGAAACCTAAATGCAACAACGGTTACCATTATCCCCATGAATCGTAACTTACCTCATCATTTGGGTGGGAACATCAAGAGAAAAGGGGGGGAAAATATTCGCCTCCTGTCATTATTAAAATTAAGATTATCAGTACACTGCGCTAGCATAATCTTCAATTTTATAACATGACAGGAGGCTTCATATTTGCATTTTTAACGCTTAGGCAGAAGGGAGAATGCGGCATTAGACGATTGTCGGAAGTAAAAGGTCCGGAATGTTGATTCGCAAGACCAGTCCGCTGCGTGGAGAATATCTGCCAATGGTGCACCTGCCAAAAAAGCTGACGACGACACCGCTCCCCTTAAGGAGTGCTCTCCGAAGGACGGTTCCACCCCGGCAAGGGTGAGGATCCATCTAATCCATCTGGATAGTGTGGTGGTCGAGACTGGACCATGAGGTTTAACGTATGATATCAGTTGTTGTTGAGAGTTTGGTCGGCGTAGCGTCTCCGTTGCCTCCATATATGTTCTCAATGCCCTAACAACACATAGTTGAGGTTCCGATGTAAAGAACGGGTAAAATATTGACTACGAATCAGTCTTGGTTCTCTGGGAGATTTGGAATGTAACCCCATCCGGGCCAATAGTAAAGGCATCCGCATCAAATGCCCGTACATCTGAGATACGGCAAAATGAGACCAGGCTCAGTAGAAAGGTGAATTTCGCTGTCAGCTGTTTCAAGGATAGGTGTTCATTTGAGGGCCATTCCTTCAGGAATCTAAGTACCATATCCACATCCCAGAGATGTTGATATTTTGGTGTCGGAGGACGTCTTATTTTAATCCCCCGTAGTAGTCGGCAAACCAAAGGATCCTGTCCGATTGCTCTCCCCTGGGATGGAACGTGAGCTGCAGATATAGCTGACCTGAGGACGTTGATGGTGCGATACGATTTACCTTCTGCGAAGATGGATGAGAGGAAATTCAGTATCTCGGGTACAGGAGCCGTAAAGGGATCCAAACTCCGTCCCACGCACCAATTGGACCAAGTCCTCCATGCCGATAGGTAGCTTCTAGTTCCCGGGGCCCATGAATCCCACAGTAGGTCCCTAGTTGTAGCCGATAACCCGTGGGTGTCCCATGCGCCCCTGAAAGTGTCCAGGCTACCAGAGGTAGTCGATCGTCCAGAAGCATGGGGTGTGGGTTGCCCAGTGGATCTCTGAGCAGGTATGGGTCGCTCGGTAGGAGGAGTGGATCGTTGCACGATAATTCGAGTAGGTCGGGGAACCAGGGTTGGCTCTGCCATAATGGTGTCAATAGTGTTAGCGTCACTTCCCATTGTCGAATGTGATGAAGTACTCTCGCAATCATTGCAAATGGAGGGAAGGCATACGCCCCCTGTCTGGGCCAATGTTGGGTGAATGCATCCACTGCTACGCACTCCGGGTCCGGGAGCCAGCTGTAAAATCTCGGCAGTTGACGGTTGTTGCGTGACGCGCAGAGGTCGAGGGTGAACGGTCCCCTCTGTTCGTTCAAGTGAGCGAATACCTGTGTGCTCAATTGCCAATCGCTGGCGTCTCTCCAATGTCGTGAGTACCAGTCCGCGGTGAAATTCGATTCCCCTGGTAGGTGTTCGGCCTTGATCGAGATGTTGCGTGGGAGGCAATAGTCGAAGATCTCTTTCGTCAGATTGGCTAGTGTTTGGGAGCGAGTCCCTCCCAGGTGGTTGATGTAGCGTACTGCGGAAAAGTTGTCCATCCGCAGTAGGATGCAGCAATTGGATTGTCCTTTTGCCAGGCTGCGAATGGTGAAGGATCCGGCCAATAGCTCCAGACAGTTGATGTGCATGGTGAGTTCCTGGTTCGTCCAGATCCCACCTGTGGATGTTGATCCATCTGTGGCGCCCCATCCCCATCGGCTCGCATCCGATTCTAGAATGAAGTCCGGGTGACTGCCGAAAATGGCTCGACCATTCCATACCTGCATGCAATTGAGCCACCATTCGAGTTCCTGGCGGACCTCATCCGTCAGGGGAACCGGTTGGTTGTATGAGGGGTTTTGCCTGAGGAAGCGGGCTTTCAACCATTGCATGGCCCGATAGTGTAGCGGTCCCGGAAATATGGCCTGGATGGAGGAGGATAGAAGACCCACGATCCGTGCTAGCTGCCGGAGGGGAATGGATTCGAGTTTGAGGACATTGCGTAGCTCTTTCCTGATGGCCGCCACTTTGGTCTTCGGCAAGTGGAGAGTGGAGGATCTGGAGTCTATGTCGAAGCCCAGGAATTGAATTGTGTGCGTGGGAGTCAATGCAGATTTTTCCTTGTTGACAATAAATCCCAGAGATTCTATCAATTGAATCGTGTATTCGGTGTGGCGTGAGGCCTTGTCGCTCGTGTTGCAGAATATGAGTATATCGTCTAAATAGATGATACATCTGATGCCTCGAGTCCTGAGGTGGGCCACCACCGGTTTCAGCATTTTCGTGAAGCACCAAGGGGCTGAGCTGAGGCCAGAAGGGAGGCAGGTGAATTGCCATGGAGATCCGTGCCATAGGAAACGAAGGAGTGGACGGCTGTCTACGTGAATAGGGATCGATAGGTATGCGTCTTTGAGATCCAGACATGTAAACCAGTCCCTTTCTTGTAATAAGTCCCTTAGAAGATGGATGCCCTCCATCTTGAAATGGCGATAGACCACGTGGGCATTCAGGTCCCATAAATTGATCACCTGTCGGAAGTCTCCGGTCTTTTTTCGCACGAGGAACATGTTGCTGAAGTAACCCCCCTGGGTGTGTGCGGGTTGTATCACGCCCTTTTTGAGGAGTTCGCCTAATTCCAACTCTATAAGTTGGGAGTCCATGGTGGTGAAGCATAGGGGCCGTGGAGGCCCGTGTTGCACGGGACGTGATTGTAGTTCGATGCGATAGCCCCTGACCGTTTGCAACACCCATGCGTCCGTGGTGAGACCTGCCCAATTCTGGGAAAAAAGAGAAACGCGGCCGGCAGTCATGGTTATTAAAGACATAGGTGTGTTTGGTTTCCTTACCTGTGGGAAATCTTGCACGGGTACGTCCACGGGCTCCCCGGCCTCTATCCGTTCCCCTTTGGAAGTGGGAGTAGGACTGCCTCGTTCCCGAGTCCGGATAGGACAGTTGCGGGTAAAACTGTTGTGAAGGTCCAGTGCGGGGGCCCGATGGCCAGAAGCGGCTGGTGGCACAGCCCCGCTGCCGACCAGCCCTTGAAAAAACACCCCTGGAGGGGTTGCCTCTGAAGACCTTTCTCATAGAGGTATGAGCCTTGTTTAGGGACGTGAACACATTCACGTGTTTATTGAGCTCCTTCATAAACGCCTCTCCGAAAAGATTGCCCTGTGCCTGGGGGCCTAGTTCTTTTACCCCAAGGTCGGCCAGCTTCGGGTCAATTCGGAACAGTGCTGCGCGGCGCCGTTCTGTTGAGAGGGCCGCATTCGTATTCCCCAGGAAGCAGAAGCCCCGCTGGGTCCATTCTCTAATATCATGCGCCCAGTTGCGCACCATGTCCGCGGTATAGGCGTCATCAGCCAAATACATCACTCGGACTAGCGGCCCCATCGCATCTAGGAGCTTGTCTTGCGCCCCTTTAAAGCTCCGTTCGATCCCCCTGCGTGGATCGCGAGCACCTCTCTCCATGAACGTCAGCATGAGCTGATCAAACTCTGGCGTAAACGCCACCTTGTCTGGCAGGGAAGGTCTAGGGCACTCTGCCCGCATCCTCTTACGGATGTGCTTCTCGAGCGGTTTCCGGATCCAGAAGTGCATAAACTTCACAAGGTGGTCGGGTGGAGCCCATTCCCCAGAGCGGGGGTGGCGTATATTCCTGGGATCAAACATGCGTTGTCCCGTAGTATCCAGGAA